AAGTCTTCTTTTGTGTTTTTAAGGATCGCATTTATTTTAAACAAGAACATATTATCCTTCATTTAGTACAGAGGAAGGCATCTACAAAACCGTGTGTCGAGTGCCGTGCCTGACGGTGTAGAACGATCACGTCTTCGAGAAAGAACCGCTACCCTGGAACAGCTGTCGAGGCCCAGCACAACCCACACGTTCCGGGTGGGTTCTCTGTTTACTGTAACTTTAACTTTGAAAAACGTTTGAAAAAAATGAAATTTGTCCCTGATTTTATTTTTCTTCCAGCAGTTGGATACGCCTCGAAAAAGTTCACTGACACAAATGGAATTTGCTGCTCACACATGGACAGGTCAAAGTATTTTGACAGGTCAGCTTTTCTCCATATATAAATAAAGTGATGTAATATGTGAGATTTCAAGTTTCAGAAAGTGAAATGCAAGATTATCTACCTTGATAAGCCTGTTCTGCTTGTGTAGGAGGGAATAGCAAGTGTCTGTGGCCTGTGGCCTGACCTCGGAAACCTCGATCACAGAGCACACCTGCACAGACACGCACGCACTCACCTGCTGTCAGGTCAAGAAGGGGGAAATGTCCAAAAGCTCTCCATGAACTGGGGGCCTCACTCTAAAAAGAATGCTGTCTTGGGAGAAGTCAGTCCCTTGTTTGCTATAGAGTTTTCATGCTCTATTTCTAAGTGGAACTTTAATCTTAGATTCTCTTTGAAAATCTGATGATGAAAATGCCTGAGAAAATTAACACAGATTTGCTAATTACTTTATAACATAAGGTTTTACAGAGAAATACGTATTCTCAGCCTGGCGTGTTGTTCGCAGGACATTCTAGTTTGAATACGGGCTGGTGATGTTTCCACTTCCAGAACAGTCACCAACGCTTTTTCAGGGCGGTAGTGTGGCCTCATCATGAGGTGTGCTGCTCTGGAGTCTGACGTTGGGTTTCCACCCTCGCTCTGCCACCAGCTGTGCAACCCTAGGAATGTCCCAACCCCTCTGGCCCTCAGCTTCCTCTTTTATAAGAAGCTGGGTAGATAAAATAATTATTGAAAATCTGTGAAAAGGACCTAGCTAGATACCAGGCATATATTGCTCAAAAATTATGAAGTATGAACCATTTGTATTATAAATGATCTGAAATTTCAGGGATAATTTATTGTTTTACAGAGAATTTTAAACATATAATCCTAAAAATAAATTTCGTACTTTGGGAGGCCGAGACGGGCAGATCACGAGGTCAGGAGATCGAGACCATCCCAGCTAACACAGTGAAACCCCGT